ATGAAACCAAATTAGAAGAGAGGATCCCTCAACCTCCTTGGTAGTGTCCACGAAGTCGAGCAAAACTATCTCAACGTGACTCCAAATAAACTGGTTCCAGCAGCATTAGACAGCTATTTCAACTGTCTACAATTCCTGTGTAACGTCAAATTTCCAAATTCGGACTCGAACATGGGGAAAATTGGATTCCAAAAGCGATCACGGAAATACGTACTACAGTTCGAGGACATGAATGCGCATCAAGGAACATGCACAAAAACACTCGCAAGCAAAGATACGCACATAAGTAAAAGTACAAAAGCATGCACAAAAGTATTCACGCAAAAGTGCATTCGCAAAAAGGATCATGAAAACACAAACTACAATCCTAGGACATTCTTACAAATCAACAAACATGCACAAACACACTCGCTCAAATGGACATGCACAAATGTCCATGTAGAAAAACCTGAGCAAAATTGCTTTCGCAACAACGTTCTTAAAAACATTACAACACTAGGACTTTAATATGCATAACCAAACAACAGCAAAAACACTAGATACAAAAGATACAGTGGAGTGTAGAAATAACACTCTACGTTTACGTTTACGTGGATTTTTTTTGGATTAATTTATATGTTTGTTTTAATTGGTGGATTTAGTATCTTATAGGTACAAATCGAAAATTAGGTGTCCACGTAGCAAAAATGATCAAAGAGTAACAAAAGAGTTGCAATTAGGAAAATATAATAAAATTAGAAAAGGGAATCCCTAAACATCTTTGGTAGTGTCCACGAAGTCGAGCATAACTTTCTCATCCGGAATCTAAATCAACTGGTTCCGGCGGCATTAGGAAGCTATTTCAGCTGGCTACGAATCCTCAAATTTCTAAGTTCGGACTCGAACACGGTCAAAATCGGATTCCAAAAGCGATAATGAAAATACATACTACAGTTCGAGGACTTGAATGCGCATCAAGAAATATGCACAAAAACACTCGCTAGAAAGATACGCACATAAGTAAAAGTACAAAAGCATGCACAAAAGTTCTCACGCAAAAGTGCAAACGCAAAAAGAATCATGAAAACACAAACTACAATCCTAGGACATTCATACAAATCAACAAACATGCACAAACACACTCGCTCAAATGGACATGCACCAACGTACATGGAGAATAACATGCGCAAAAGTGCATTCGCAACAACGTTTCTTGAAAATATTGCAACACTAGGACTTTAATATGCATAACCAAACAACAGCAAAAACACTAGATAGAAAAGATAAAGTGGAGTGTAGAAATAACACTCTACGTTTACGTTTACTTGGATTTTTTTTTGGATTAATTTATATTTCTGTTTTAATTATTGGATTTAGTATCTTCTGGGTACAAATCGAAAATTAGGGGTCCACGAAGCAAAAATGATCAAAAAGTAACAAAAGAGTTGCAATTAGGAAAATACAATAAAATTGGAAGAGAGGATCCCTCAACATCTTTGGTAGTGTCCACGAAGTCGAGCGTAACTTTCTCATCCGGACGCCAAATCAACTAGTTCCGGCGGCATTAGAAAGCTATTTCAGCTGGCTACACAATTCATGTCTAACGTGAAATTGCCAAATTTGGATTCGAACATGGTCACAATAGGATTCCAAAAGCGATAACGAAAATACGTACTATAGTTCGAGGATATGAATGCGCTATAACAAACATGCACTAAAACACGTGCTAGAAAAGATATGCACATAAGTAAATATACAAAAGAATGCACAAAATACTCACGCAAATTGCATTCGCAAAAAGGATCATGAAAACACAAACTAAAATCTTAGGACATTAATACGAATCAACAAACATGCACAAACACACTAGCTCAAATGGACGTGCACAAACGTACATGTAGAAAAACATGCGCGAAAGTGCATTCGCAACAACGTTCTTTAAAACATTACAACACTAGGACTTTAATATGCATAACCAAACAATAGCAAAAACACTAGATACAAAAGATTGAGTGGGGTGTAGAAATAACACTCTACGTTTACGTTTACGTGGATTTTTTTGGATTAATTTAAATTTCTGTTTTAATTGGTGGATTAAGTATCTTATAGGTACAAATCGAAAATTAGGTGTCCCTGAAGCAAACATGATCAAAGAGTAACAAAAGAGTTGCAATTAGGAAAATAATATATAATTAGAAGAGAGGATCCCTCAACATCTTTGGTAGAGTCCACGAAGTCGAGCATAACTTTCTCATCCGGACTCCAAATCAACTGGTTCTGCCGTCATTAGAAAGCTATTTTAGCTTACTACAATTCATGTCTAACGTGAAATTTCAAACTTCGGACTCGAACATGGTCAAAATAGGATTCCAAAAGCGATCATGAAAATACGTGCTACACTTCGAGGCCGTGAATGCGCATCAAGAAACATGCACAAAAACACTGGCTAGAAAAGATACACACATAAGTAAAAGTAAAAAAGCATGCACAAAAGTAATCACGCAAAAGTGCATTCGCAAAAAGGATCATGAAAACACAAACTACAATTCTAGGACATTAACACAAATCAACTAACATGCCCAAACACACTCGCTCAAATGGACATGCACAAACGTACATGTAGAAAAACATGCGCAGAACTGCATTCGCAACAACGTTCTTAAAAACATTACAAGACTAGGACTTTAATACGCATAACCAAACAACAGCAAAAACACTAGATAGAAAAAATATAGTGGAGTGTAGAAATAACACTCTACGTTTACGTTTACGTGGATTTTTTTTTGGATTAATTTATATTTCTATTTTAATTGGTGGATATAGTATCTTATAGGTACAAATCGGAAATTAGGGATTCACGAAGCAAAAATGGTCAAAGAATAACAAAAGAGTTGCAATTAGGAAAATATAATAAAATTAGAAGAGGGGATCCCTAAACATCTTTGGTAGTGTCCACGAAGTCGAGCATAACTTTGTCATCCGGCATCCAAATCAACTGGTTCCGGAGGCATTAGGAAGCTATTTCAGCTGGCTACGATTCCTCAAATTTCTAAATTCGGACTCGAACATGGTCAAAATCAGATTCAAAAAGAGATAATGAAAATACGTACTACAGTTCGAGAACTTGAATGCGCATCAAGAAACAAGCACAAAGACACTTGCTAGAAAGATACGCACATAAGTAAAAGTACAAAAGCATGCACAAAAGTACTCACGCAAAAGTGCATACGCAAAAAGAATCATGAAAACACAAACTACAATCCTAGGACATTCATACAAATCAACAAACATGCACAAACACACTCAATCAAATGGACATGCACATACGTACATGTAGAATAAACATGCGCAAAACTGCATTCGCAACAACGTTCTTAAAAACATTACAACACTAGGACTTTAATACGCATAACCAAACAACAACAAAAACACTAGATACAAAAGATACAATGGAGTGTAGAAATAACACTCTACGTTTACGTTTACGTGGATATTTTTTGGATTAATTTATATTTCTGTTTTAATTGGTGGATTTAGTATTTTATAGGTACAAATCGAAAATTAGGTGTCCATGTAGCAAAAATGATCAAAGAGTAACGAAAGAGTTGCAATTAGGAAAATAGAATAAAATTAGTAGAGTGGATCCCTAAAAATCTTTGGTAGTGTCCACGAAGTCGAGCATAACTTTCTCATCCGGAACCTAAATCAACAGGTTCCGGCGGCCTTAGGAAGCTATTTCAGCTGGCTACGATTCCTCAAATTTCCAAATTAGGACTCGAACATGGTCAAAATCGGATTCCACAAGCGATCACGAAAATACGTACTACAATTCGAGGACTTGAATGCACATCAAGAAACGTGCACAAAAACACTCGCTAGTAAGATATGCACATAAGTAAAAGTAAAAAAGCATGCACAAAAGTACTCACGCAAAAGTGCATTCGCAAAAAGGATCATGAAAACACAAACTTCAATCCTAGGACATTAAAACAAATCAGTAAACATGCACAAACACACTCGCTCAAATGGACATGCACAAACGCAAATGTAGAAAAGCATGCGCAAAAGTGCATTCGCAACAACGTTCTTAAAAACATTACTACACTACACTACAAGAAATTTTGGTTTCAGTGACGATTTTGTATGGTCGTTAAAAGTTAGAAAATGGTAGCTAAAACTTCTAGCGATCAAATTAATCTTGGTCACCGGTGGTCACAACAGGGTAGTTACTAAAACTACTCAGTGACAAGAAAATTAATTGGACGCTAAAAGATGAGATTTAGCGGCGAACTAATAATGGTCACTAAAAATATAATTATTAACGACCAGTTTTTGACTCGCTAATGTAAATTTTATGGTGGCAATAATATTAACATGGTTGTTATAGCAACATATATAGTGGCCATATAACTTTGGTTGCTAAATGATATGTACGTATAGTGACCATATTTTATTGTTGGTATAGGATATATATTTCGCCACCACATTTTTTGGTTGCTACATAATATACATATAGTGACGGTATATGTTGGTTGATAAATAATATATCTGTTGGTAGCTAAATATATATACATATCGTGACCATATTAATTGTTGCAATAATTTTTAGATGGTTTCGACAATTATTAAATTTACTGACCAATTCACACCAATAATTAATTGGTTGCATTAATCATTAATTTTTATTTGTAACAGTGGGTGTAAAAAAAAAAATTAAAACAAAACTAAAGATTGCATATTTACATATTATCAAACAAACGTGAATATTATAATTTCAATCTATCATACTCAATACAATAATAAATCAATCATTCCAAATAAAAAGAAAGATACGATAATTATTTCATAATAAATTCCACTTCATAAATTGTTAAGCGACAAAAAATATGACTTCCACCATAACGTTCTTTCACTTTATCAAACAGTCCAACCTAAAAAAGGGAAAACAAATTCAAATAGAAAATAAGAAATCATATGATAGAATCAATTTCAATCATTTGTCACTTAGTAGCAGTACTCATAATTCAATAATGTATCTGGGCTCTTGCATAAGTAGCTACTTACCTCGTCCAGTCCATGTGTTTAATGTGATGCATTGCCTGAGAATTATTAGTTAGGACGGAAATTGTAATTCATTTGTCCTACCTCATATAATAATTGAAGAAGCTTAAAAAACAATTAATACGAAATATTGCATGAAATGGATCAGAACTTTGATTTCAGAAAACTCACCTAGATCCCAATGCACAATATAGCTGAACTTGCTCCTCCCGACTCCCTTCATCAATTGACCACCAACCTAGTCACCTGATATAAAGAATTTATCCACAATCAATAGAAGTAGAGAAAGAATTTTGACAAATTTTATGGTTCATTTTTACATAACGTACATTCGGTATAACTGGATCCACACCTGGATCCACGACAAATAAATCTCATATAATCATGAGCAACACCCGGTAAGCTAATACTACTTTCTATGTCAGCTCCATCTAAAGTAAAAGTGTTGATTTGTTCAAATTTATGCATGTCAAAAAAACCTGGTCCTTGCATTATTAAAAGAGAGAACAAAAATTAAGTATATCTAGCAAAAATCGTAACGATGAGATCAATACATTACCAAATACTAACTCAATATCGTCCAACCAATAAATTTACTTAACATACCCTCATATGATGTTATGTCTAATTTTGATCAAAATACTGTAAACTTGTTGCTTAATGTGCATAAGACAAATTTCAAATAAATAAGGGCATAAATAGATGCTAAACATTAAACTTATGCATAAAATGTACAGATTAGCTTAGCATAATTAAGTGTTCTTCAATAAATATCATATCACCCGAAATTGAGTCTTCATTTGTTCTCTGATATATATCTCCTCACCAAATATGCAATCAAAGTACATAATATTCAGTATACCTGGATCCACGACAAATAAATCTCGTATAAACGTGAGCAACACCCGATAATTTAATATTATTTTAGAAAATCAGGCAGCTTTGGTACTTCAACTTTGAAAATTCATATATATTAAACCATGCATACAAATCTTATGAAATTTTAACACAACGTTCAAATATATGTGATTTATACCATATCAAAACAGCTCAGTAAAATACCTATCCATGGAAGAGGTATAATTAATTTAGTACAGCAACATCAGCAGAATTTCAGAACAGAGCATTCAACTTTAAAAATACCAATTAAATCATTCTTTCAACGAAACACCATAAAATTTCACGAAGAATCATATTTATAAGTCTATAATCATATCCAGTTGGAATCACATGAATCGGAACAAGATAAAATCTAATTTAACACATAATTCATAGATGACTCAGAAATCGTGCAGTTTCAGAAAACGGTTCGTAACTTGATCAATATAATTCCAAATTACGCATACCATATGTCAAAACGAAGCTAACAGAGACATCTACACGCACAATTAATTTCATAATTTTCAGAAAATAAATCAGCGACTAATCATGCACTGGAATCTGGAAATCGAACTAGGGTTTATTGAAATCTATATTTCTTCACCTAGATCCCTAAATCCGATTCCTAAACATATGAATCAATTAAAAACATAAACATATTTTATTATTTATCATCAATTCATTAAACACCAAAGTTCTTACCTCTTTGAAAAGAATCGAATACAAAGAAGAAGAGGGAACCGAAGGATTAGATATGAAACTTCCCGGAGAAGAAGGGGAAATTAATGAATTCGAAAATTCTCTTTTCCTGTAATCAAATCTTCCAAATCTCCTTAATGAATTCGAAAATTCTCGAACATGGGTAGGAACTAGGGCTTGCAGAAATTGGGAGAAATAGGCGAATATTTTTTGGGAAAACAAAAGAGGTAAGATAAGAGGGATTTTGGTGCAAACATAATGAAGAAATTATGAGAGAATTTTTTCTTGATTTTCTGTAATATTATGCGAGAATTGGTAGAGAGAGAAAGAGAGCGTATGGAGAGAGTGAACAGATCTTAATATTTTGTGATGAAGAAACGTGATAAATGTCTTTAATTTTTTTATTATTTGCATTTTCGGCCCCATCTTTATTTTATTTTATTTTCTTTTTTTGATTTGTTTAAAAACTAAACTAGTGATCAAATCCATTTGATTTCCGTAAGTCGTTTCATAGTAACCAAATTCGAGTTGTTGTTCAACCCAATTAAATTGTTGTTAATAATTAAATTAAAGACTCGTAGAAACCGTAAAAAAAATACACTCGCTCAAATGGACATTAATACGAATCAACAAACATGCACAAACACACTCGCTCAAATGGACATGCACAAACGTGCATGTAGAAAAACATGCGCAAAAGTGCATTCGCAACAACGTTCTTAAAAACATTACAACACTAGGACTTTAATACGCATAACCAAACAACAGCAAAAACACTAGATACAAAAGATACTGTGGAGTGTAGAAATAACACTCTACGTTTGCGTTTACGTGGATTATTTTTGGATTAATTTAAATTTCTGTTTGAATTGGTGGATTTAGTATCTTATAGGTACAAATCGAAAATTAGGTGTCCAAGAAGCAAACATGATCAAAGAGAAACAAAAGAATTGCAATTAGGAAAATAAAATAAAATTAGAAGAGAGGATCCCTCAACATCTTTGGTAGTGTCCACGAAGTCGAGCATAGCTTTCCCATCCGGGCTCGAATTCAACTGGTTCCGGCATCATTAGAAAGCTATTTCAGCTGGCTACAATTCATGTCTAACGTGAAATTTCCAACTTCGGACTCGAACATGGTCAAAATTGGATTCCAAAAGCGATCATGAAAATACGTGCTACACTTCAAGGACATGAATGCGCATCAAGAAATATGCCCAAAAACACTGGCTAGAAAAGATACGCACATAAGTAAAAGTAAAAAAGCATGCACAAAAGTACTCACGCAAAAGTGCATTCGCAAAAAGGATCATGAAAACACAAACTACAATCCTAGGACATTAATACAAATCAACAAACATGCACAAACACACTCGCTCAAATGGACATGCACAAACGTTCATGTAAAAAAACATGTGCAAAAGTGCCTTCGCAACAATGATCTTAGAAACACGAACTACAATACTAGGAGTTTAATTATACGCAAAACCAAACAACCAGCAAAAACACTAGATACAAAATATACAGTGAAGTTTAGAAATCACACTCTAGGTTTACGTTCACGTGGATTTTTTTTTGGGATTAGTTTATATATCTGTTTTAATTGGTGGATTTAGTATCTTACAGGTACAAATCGATAATTATGTGTCCATGAAGCAAAAATGATGAAAGAGTAAGAAAAGAGTTGCAATTAGGAAAATAAAATGATATTAGAAGAGAGGATCCCTCGACATCTTTGGTAGTGTCCACGAAGTCGAGCGTAACTTTCTCATCCAAACTCCAAATCAACTAGTTCTTATGGCATTAGAAAGCTATTTCAGCTGGCTACAAAAGCATGCACAAAAGTACTCACGCAAAATTGCATTCGCAAAAAGGATCATGTAAACGCAAACTACAATCCTAGGACATTAATACAAATCAACAAACATGCACAAACACACTCGCTCAAATGGACTTGCACAAACGTACATGTAAAGAAACATGCTCAAAAGTGCATTCGCAACAAATTTCTTAAAAACACGAACAACAATAGTAGGACTTTAATACGCATAAGCAAACAGACACCAAAAACACTAGATACAAAAGATGCAGTGGAGTTTAGAAATCACACTCTAGGTTTACATTTACGTGGATTTTTTTTTTGGATTAATTAATATTTCTGTTTTAATTGATGGATTAAGTATCTTATAGGTACAAATCGATAACTAGGTGTCCATCACGCAAAAATGATGAAAGAGTAAGAAAAGAGTTGCAATTAGGAAAATAAAATAATATTAGAAGAGAGGATCCCTCGACATCTTTGGTCGAAGTCGAGCATAATTTTCTCATCCGGACTCCAAATCAACTAGTTCCGACGGCATTAGAAAGCTATTTCAGCTGGCTACAATTCCTGTCTAACATCAAATTTCTAAATTCGGACTCGAACATGGTCAAAATTGGAATCCAAAAGCGATCATGAAAATACGTGCTACGGTTCGAGGACATGAATGCGCATCAAGAAACGTGCACACAAACACTTACTAGAAAAGATACGCACATAAGTAACAGTACAAAAGCATGCACAAAAGTACTCACGCAAAAGGGCATTCGTAAAAACGATCATGAAAACACAAACTACAATCCTAGGACATTAATACAAATACACAAACATGCACAAACACACTCGCTCAAATGGACATGCACAAACGTACATGTAAAAAAACATGCGCAAAAGTGCATTCGCAACAACGTTCTTACAAACACGAACTACAACACTAGTACTTTAATACGCATAACCAAACAAACAACAAAAAACACTAGATACAAAAGATACAGTGGAGTTTAGAAATAACACTCTACGTTTACGTTTTTGTGGATTTTTTTTTTTTGATTAATTTATATTTATTTTTTGATTGGTGGATTTAGTATCATATAGGTACAAATTGATAATTAGGTGTCCATCAAGAAAAAATGATCAAAGAGTAAGGAAAGAGTTGCAATTAGGAAAATAAAATAAAATTAGAAGAAATGATCCCTCGACATCTCCGGTAGTGTCCACAAATTCGAGCATAACTTTCTCATCCGGACTCTAAATCAACTGGTTCTGGCGGCATTAGAAAGCTATTTCATCTGGCTACAATTCCTGTCTAACGTCAAATTTCCAAATTCGGACTCGAACACAGTCAAAATTTGATTCCAAAAGCGATCATGAAAATACGTGCTATAGTTCGAGGACACGAATGCGCATCAAGAAACGTGCACAAAAACACTCGCTTGAAATGATACGCACATAAGTAAAAGTGCGACAGCATGCACAGAAGTACTCACGCAAAAGTGGATTCGCAAAAAGGATTTTGAAAACACAAACTACAATCCTAGGACATTAATACAAATCAACAAATATGCACAAACAAACTCGCTTAACTGGACATGCACAAACGTACATGTAACAAACATGCTCAAAATTGCATTCGCAGCAACGTTCTTAAAGACACGAACTACAACACTAGAACTTTAATACACATAACAAAACAAATAGCAAAAACACTAGATACAAAGGATAAAGTGGAGTTTAGAAATAACACTCTATGTTTACGTTTACGTGGATTTTTTTTGAATTAATTTATATTTTTTTATTTAATAGGTGGATTTAGTATCTTATAGGTACAAACCGATAATTAGGTGTCCATGAAGCAAAAACGATCAAGGAGTAAGAAAAGAGTTGCAATTAGGAAAATAAAATCTAACTAGAAGAGAGGATCCCTCGATAGCTTCGGTAGTGACCACGAAGTCGAGCATAACTTTCTCATCCGGACTCCAAATTAACTAGTTCCGGTGGCATAAGAAAGCTATTTTAGTTGGATTCAATTTGTGTCTAACGTCAAATTTCCAAATTCAGACTCGAACATGGTCAAAATTGGATTCCAAAAGCGATCATGAAAATACGTGCTACGGCTCGAGGACATTAATGCGCATCAACAAAACGTGCACAAAAACACTCGCTAGAAAAGATACGCACATAAGTAAAAGTACAATAGCATGCACAAAAGTACTCACGCAAAAGTGCATTCGCAAAAACGATCATGAAAACACACACTACAATCCTAGGACATTAATAAAAATCAACAAACATGCACAAACACACTCGCTGAAATGAACATGCACAGACGTACATGTAAAAAAACATGCACATAAGTGCATTCGCAACAACGTTCTTAAAAACACGAACTACAACACTAGGACTTTAATATGCATAACCAAACAAACAGCAAAAGCACTAGATACAAAAGATACAGTGGAGTTTAGAAATAACACTCTACGTTTACGTTTACGTAGATTTTTTTTGGATTAATGTATATTTCTGTTTTAATTGGTGGATTTAGTATCTTATAGGTACAAATCGATAATTAGGTGTCCATGAAGCAAAAATGATCAAAGAGTAAGAAAACAGTTGCAATTAGGAAAATTAAATCAAATTAGAAGAGAGGATCCCTCGACATGAAGCAAAAATGATCAAAGAGTAAGAAAAGAGTTGCAATTAGGAAAATAAAATCAAAACTAGAAGAGAGGATCCCTCGACATCTTCGGTAGTGACCACGAAGTCGAGCATAACTTTCTCATCTGGACTCCAAATTAACTGGTTCCGGTGGCATTAGAAAGCTATTTTAGTTGGCTTCAATTTGTGTCTAACGTCAAATTTCCAAATTGGGACTCGAACATGGTCAAAATTGGATTCCAAAAGCGATCATGAAAATACGTGCTACAACTCGAGGACAATAATGCGCATCAATAAAACGTGCACAAAAACACTCGCTAGAAAAGATACGCACATAAGTAAAAGTACAACAACATGCACAAAAGTACTCACGCAAAAGTGCATTCGCAAAAACCATCATGAAAACACACACTACAATCCTAGAACATTAATACAAATCAACAAACATGCACAAACACACTCGCTGAAATGGACATGCACAAACGTACGTGTAAAAAAACATGCACATAAGTACATTCGCAACAACGTTCTTAAAAACACGAACTACAACACTAGGACTTTAATATGCATAACCAAACAAACAGCAAAAGCACTAGATACAAAAGATACAGTGGAGTTTAGAAATAACACACTACGTTTACGTTTACGTGGATTTTTTTGGATTAATTTACATTCTGTTTTAATTGGTGAATTTAGTATCTTATAGGTACAAATCGATAATAAGGTGTCCATGAAGCAAAAATGATCAAAACATGCACAAAAACATTCGCTAGAAAAGATACTGTTGGGTGCTAAATACCAACACGCAAGTGTACGTATCGCAAACAAGTAGTAAAAGTGGACTCGTGAGAGTCGGCTGTCGATCCCACAGGGAATACGCAAATTACCTAATCCTAAGTACCAAATTCTAACAATCATGATTTTTATCCAGCCTACGCAAGTTTGTCAAATTAAATCAATTTAACTTAAATAAGAAAGCAAATAATCACGAGAAAATATCAATATAAAACGGATCTAGGATTTTATCTTCCCCCTATGCGATAATTCTTC